GTCACTATTTGTAATTGAATCTGAAGTAATACAAAGGTTGTGTTGTAGTCTTTTACATTTCTATCTATGACAAGGTGGCTTCCTAAATAGTCCATAAGCTTATAAATGAGAATTTGTGTAATGTCTTCCCCTCAACATTGCTAAGAATTGAATATATGTTTTGTCAGGACAAGGAATGCACATCAGCCAACTACAACATAAATGGTTTACAACAATAATCATCATCCAAAAGTTGTAAGAACCTAATGGAATCTTGCTTTTTCTAATCTATGTTGCAACAAATGTTGTGGTTGAGTGAACCGCTTCATAGAAATAATCCTACAAATCATAGAGAAATAATCTAAAGATGGTTGAGACATTTTCATAATAAAAAGTCATCCAAAACTGATGTTTCTCAAAGAGTTATAACTACCAGTTAGAAGCCACTTCTAGTTCTGCCATTATGGTCTCTCTACCAATGCAGCTAAAAACGCGATTCTACCTAGAAGCAGAAAATGGGTAAAAACGTAAAACGTAGAATCAAAGCGTAAAATCGTTAGTTTTTGACGCACCCTCTAAAATAGCTAAAATATGTTAAGTACAACATATAGTATGTAAAATGTGAGTGTGTAGATTTTAGATAAGTGGATAACTACATGAAATTCATAATTAAAATGTAATATCTAACACATAAACTAATTTGCGTTGACTCAAAAGTAGAGAAAACTCATAGCATCTTAATAATAAGCTCATAAGCGTAGATCGTAACCCGTAAACGAGCTTGAGAATCCAAATCCTCATAAGGTGGTTTGAGTTTACATAATTACATACGATCAATTACCCATAAACTTTCATCGTAACCTAAGTAAGAGCCACAGGTGAAGATTAAGGGAGAAGACTGATAGAAGGTGAGCGGCTGTTGAGAATACCATTAAGTGTCTTTTCAACCTAATGTGAAGCCCCTATTTCGACACTAGTTGTAGAACGAGTGATGAATCATGTTTTCCTTTTTTTTACTTTTTGCTGATATGTCTCCAAAATTACATCATTTTGGGCCAATTAGCACATTTTTATGAGATGATAAAAAATAACGTATAAAAACGCTTCAGAATTGCGATTTTAAGCGATTTTATCGATTTTACTCATGTTTTTGCCACTTTTTGTGACTAAGCGACTTTAGATAGAAACGTAAACTTACGTTTTTACGTTTTAATGCGCAATTTTGACTGCACTGCTCTCTACTGCTAACTAATTGCCATTATACCCTCTCTGCCACTTCTAGTTCTGCCATCACATAACTGTGAACATATATGAAAAGAACTTAATATGGTATCTTACACTCTCACTATTCATTTGCTTTTATAGGTTGCAGATATCTAGGTTTGTGTTTGTAGTCTACAGTAATTAGTTTGTTTCGTTTCATTTACTTTTATGTTTGAAAGGGTGGTAGTAGATTGTATCTTTTCATGAACATGTTTAGGATCAGTATGGTTTTGTATCTCAGTATGTTGTTTCTCTTCTTGTTCCATGCTTTATGAGCATGAATCTTTTTTTCTTCTTCTTCTCATGTTATGGGTTTATTTCTCTTCTATGTGTTATTACAGAGATGAATTTTATTTGTTTGGATAGCTTTGTAAAAGGTTAAGATGTTTTTCAGATGAAAGCATTTTCATGATGTGGGTTATTCAAAAGAAAGCAAAGTTTTATCTTGTGGATCTTGGTGGAAATTCATTTTTGTTCAAGTTGACATTCTTCTTTTGATGTGAATTTCTATTTTTTCGAGTTTCATCTAATAATTTGTGCTAGGAACAATATGTATTGAGTGAAGTTAGCAATTTGTGGCAAGAGCAGTGGGTAATTTAGACTTTTAAAGTTACAAAGAAATATATCATAATTGAAATGCTTCAGCGGGTAGCAGGGGTTTAAGAAAGTTATGAGAATATAAAACAAAAAAAAACCGAAACGTACTAATTTGTGTTTATCGATGCTTTTATAACCATTGCTAAAGTTCTCTTTAAATAAAGTTAAAGGGATTCGGAAATCGTCGCAATAACGCTGCAAATCATATGTGGGAAAAAAATTCCATCAGCATCAAGAGTACATTTAGCTGCGAGACAAGCCGCCGCAAGGACATCCACTAGCGGTGCATTTTCCCTAGCACATCCGTTTTGCTGCGGTTATTGCAACGACTGGCAGCTTCCTTAGCGACACTTTTGTCGTTAAATGGAAAAGTAACCCCTGTTGTAGCTGATTTATTTTGTAGTGATCATATATACTATATCACTAACGTAGGTTGTTGTCAGTCGTATATTTGTAGTGGTATTGAAACTCTCTTCAAAAGGTTCAAGATTGTTATAGGCCTTAAAATCAATCTTGACAAGTCAATGATGTTCACTGTAGGTGATGTCCCTGAACCCAGTTTCTTTGCTGCGACATTTGGATGTAAATAGAGTAGCGAGCCCTCTAAGTACCTCGATTTACCGTTGGGTGATCATCCTAATGTTGTCTCAATTTGGAATCCAATCGTGCTCAAATACCAAAATCGCCTGCAGGGGTGGAAGGGCAGGTTTCTATCTTTTGGTGCAACCTTACCTTGAATTGCTCCACTCTTAATAGCCTATCATACTATCATTTCTCCTTGTTAAAAGTGCATAGGACTGTTGTTAACAATCTTGAAATGATTCAGAGAAGATTCCATTTGTGTAGAGCGAATGGGAGTTTTAAGAGGCATTTATTTGCTGGGACCTATGCAAAGCCCCTAAACATAAGGGTTGTTTTGGAGTAATTGACTTAGAAAGTTTCAACAATGCATTGGTTGGTAAATGGCGGTGGAAGTATGCTTCTCAAAGAGACAGTTGGTGGCGCAGCTCATCAACATGAAGTATTACAATCTTGTTTCGGAATGGAAGCCCATGAAGATTGATGAAGGTTATAATAGTTATGTTTGAGCTAATATATGCAAAGTCAGCAATTTGTTTTGGAAAGGGGCGAGTGTTGATCCTGGCTTGGGTTCTGCTATCTCTCTTTGGCATGATAACTGGATCGCTGAAAAGTCGCTGGCAGAGTCCTTTTCGCGTACTGCTGCTGCTTCCTTCCCAAATGTTAGTATCCTTGACTCCGTGCCCTAATCAAGTGCGAGGGTTGTGTGCGAAATTCCTTTTTCTATTAAATTACGGGGTGGGGCTAAAATTGAGAGAGTTACTTTTGTTGATAAAATCAATGCTAATTCTCACATAATTATTGGTAGCCCTTGTCGGATGCAGTGGAATCCGGACGCAGAAAGTTATTTTTCGGTTAGTTCCTTTTACAGGTTGTAGGTGGAGGACCAGTTTACTGGGACTACTGAATTCCAACATAAATTTGTTTGGAAAAACATCAGCCCCATAAAATTCTTTGGTTTCCTCTGGCTTGTATGGCACAAAAGGATATCACACTTGAAAAAATGAAGAAACAACGCATGGTGTTGGCGAATCGGTGTGAATTATGCTACAAAGAAGAAGAATCAATTAACCTCCTCTTGGTTGATTGCTGCTATAACAGGCACATGTGGACCTAAGTCTATAGCATCACCACTCATCCGGATCTGTCCTCTAGCCATATTTCCACTATCATCAACTTGGATGGTGTTGATGCTTGGTTTAACTATTGTGTTGTTCACGCGATCTGTTGGTTTGTGTGGAAAGAATGAAACCAGAGAATCTTCCAAGAAACTTGTTGCATCACTTTTGAGGTCGTTAAGAAGACTACAAGAGCAATCGTTGAATGGATCATAGCTCATAGAATGTTAGACAAAGAGCAGGGGATAACTTTTTTTTTCCTGGAATGGTTTCGCAAAAGTGTTGATGTTTGACAGGGTTCTTCTGTTGGGGGGTTTTGATCTTGTTTTAGGCCCCCATTCCCTGTTCCTTTGCGCTACCATTTCTCATCACAGCTTGTTTTCTTGGTTAAGTATGTTTTCCTTTTATTTGTTCTACCATCTCTTTTGTACGCTTGTTTTTTTGGTTTTCGCTCTTTTCTCACTTCTTGTAGGAATTTGTATTTGAACTCGATTTTGCTTTTTTCTTTAATGAAAGTTCATCGCCATTATAAAAAAATATATAAGGTGAGGTTCTAGACTGGTTCCATTACACATTTGTACAAAACAATAAAATTTGTGATTTTCATTTTTTTCTGTAATATGACTCCAACACATTTGTATGAAACAATCTAAATGCCTAAAATGTAGCACAAATATCTAAATTAGTATTGTTGATAAAAAAAATGTCTAGTTCGTAGTGATTTGCAACACCAACACCGTCAAAATACAATTTTGTATCTTTCGACATTTCAAATCAATCGCTTCTTGTAACTTGTGCTTTTCTCGTCCTTCCACCACTTTTAATATCGCGTTTTCCCAACTCACATCTTCATCCGCCATTACACAATACCCTTCTTTTTAGTCTCTCATCATTTTTACCACTTAAGTGACCACTACTTGAAATAGCTAATTCGAGGTATAATCTTGAACATTCATTTGTTTGAATATGTCTTAGTTAGTGTTCTGAATTAGCTTGATACAAACAAGTAAACTCATTTTTTGGTGTCTAAGAATTTGAGAATCTCTTAACTTGATAGGAACAAGTTTAGGAACGAAATCAGAGACCAAATCAACAATCACATTTCACAAGATCAATGACCAGAATATACGTTGTTGGGAACTAATTAAAGGCAATACAATTACATAGATAAGACAATTTGGACCAAGTCTATGTTTTCCCCATGAAGACCTTTACACAATACTTCCAAAAAAACGATAGATAGATATATCAAATGCCTCGCACCTTTCCTCTTTTGTTGGCTGCTCCTTTCCTCCTCCCTTCAGCAACAGCTAGAGGATTAAAAAAGCCATCAACCCTGAATTTGTCTCCTGTTTCCAGCCATGCACCTGTCCTAATTAGTATTTTACATGAAATAAAAATTAATTAATCATAACCCCTCCCCTACCCTTCAATATATAGTACAAACCCATCTAATCCAACATTAACTCCAAACCCATCACTTCTCTTTACTCTGTTATTCCGTAATTAAGGATTTAAACCCCCCCATTAATTATGCTTACTGCTCATATGGCTTCTCCTTCTTCCACGACAAAATCTCATTATTCCCTAGCCTCTTTCGCCATCACTTCTCCACGCTTGCAGTGCCGCCGCCGGCCGCTCACATTCAGGGCCCACGGCAAATTCCCCGACGAAGGTATGTAACCTCCGATTGATTACTAGTTCGTCAACTCCTGTCTTCGTGGCTACATTAATTAACGTGGGCTGACGGCCGGGCCTTTTGGATGGCGGCAGGGAGCAGCGGCTGGCCGAGTGACGACGGAGTGGATGCGAATTTGGGCGTCCTGAGGGATAGGATAGAGGCGGTTCAGATCAAGGAGCGGCTTCAGCTGACGTGTTCCGCCGTTCTCCGATCGGCGTCGTTGCGAATGATGACGAGGCCGCCGCCGCAGCAATCCACGTCGTCAACATGCAGCCGTGTTGATCACGGACGTAATATTAATTACGGATGGAATTATGGTGGTGATCATGAACAGCTTGTTAACAGATCGCGGCGGCGGCGGCGGCAGCAACGGTCGACTCAAGAATTGGCCTACCAATTTTGCCGGCTGGTAGCGTTGGTTTCTTCCACCATTGGAGTGACCTGCCTTTCCGGGACTTGTCTGCTTTACCTCGTTTCAATCCTCGCTCATCATTTCAGCCATTAATATGTACTGATTTTTTTTTTTTTTTTTACCTCCCATACTTCGATCCTTCTTCTTCTTTTTTTTTTTTTTTTGAAAATCTTTTCAACCTTTTTAAGATTGTTGTTTATTTCTAAGTAATTATTGTAATTGCGTGGGTATTTAATCTAGGGCGGAGTCAGGATTCGAGCTTTGGGGGGCCGAAATGTTTATTCGTATTGCCTAAGAGGCAAAAAAAAAAAAAAACACAAAAGTATAATTCCAACTTTAAAAAGAGTACTTTTAATCATCAAAATTGCCCAAGACACTTTTTTAAGACAATTAGACTTACTTCAAACACGATTTAAGACGAATAAATTATCATGTCATTTTGACGGTAAATGAGTTAATTACCAACAAAATTAATAATACATTCCAATGCCTAGCATGTTTCATGATTTTTATAGCTTAAAAATCCATGTGTACAATCTATTACAAGAAAATATTTACTCATTGTATATTCAAAATAGTAAACATGTAATGCAAAGTTTACACCATTTTCTAGAGCGAAAATTTATGAAAACTAGATAATTATAATTAATTTTCGTGCCAAGTACAAGTAGAAACCAAAATAGGTTAAAATATGTCTGTAATGGGCATCGAACCAGCATTCCCCTGATTTGTAAAAGTATGTCCTTCCATTAGGATGCACTAGTAAATGCAATATGATTTGCTACTACTTCGTTATATTTTTATACTCTGTTTATACGTAGTTTTCAAAAATCACGAACAACTTACACTTAACTTTCGAAATTCTGGGGGCCCGAGCCAGAGTACAGCTCCGCCCCTGATTTAATCTCTAGTTGAAAGTACAAAGACGAGTAAAAATCACCAGAAAACAAAGTGGAGAAAAGGTTGATGCATGGATGTTTGCTGTATTTTGCGTTTCCATCTGCGGCAATATACCAAGTCGCTGCAGGAATGATTGTATAGGTATAGTTGGCTATTATTATTAAAAGATTCATTCATAGAGAATAATCGGCCGGTTTCATATTCATGTGATATTTTTTTGAAGGGGTACGACATAAAGAATATAAGCATAATCATTGATACTGCAACAATTGGAAGTAACATGATTCAATAAAACCAAATTTTCGATTACTAGGTCTATATAATTGAGTTCATTAGATGCTCTTAATCGTATTAATTAGATACATATACAAATCGGATTCCTCTGAATTAATGACCAAAGACCACGTATGTGTTTACACAATTCTGTTTATATACTTGGATCATTAGTTGCATCACTATACTTTAATTTTTGTATGCACATGTTCTTAGGTAGAAATAGAATACATACAATCAATTTGTTTATGGTAAAAGTCCAGCGTCTACACGTAATTAAGTATTCCCATAATATAATAAACTGTTTCTTAAGGCACAATGAATTGTATTATAATGACTCATGCTAAAGACTACAAAAAGTATTGGGTTAAGGGTAAAAAATCTTATAGTTTTGTAGTACTGCAAACTATAATGGATTGTTGAGATTAAATTGTAAGAGATCTAATGATCATTTTTGTAGATGGGTAAGGAGGAAATATTTGTGCAGTTGATCAAATTTTGTGGTTGACACGGATTCATAAGCGACTGTTAAAGCATTTTCCAAATCACCAATTTAAATCAGATTTTAACAAAATTTGCACAAGCAAAGCATCTTTTTTGTGCTATACAAGACTATTAACTTTGATATTTTTTTTAGAAAAATTATTTATGTCATCTTAGCACCATCATATCACGATATTGTTATTTCCAGTAGTATGATGTTTATATGATAGTATTATAATGTTGGTATGTTGTTGATATAAATGTGATATGATGTTGGTATGAGATTTTATATTTGATAGAATAATTCGATGACACCATATCATGATAAGATAATGATATGATGTTGGTATGAAGTCTTATGTTTGACAAAATAATTTGATAACATCATATCACTATCATATTATCACTAAACCATTGATTTGAAGAGGCTAATTTCTATGCAAAAATATTTTAATTTTGAGTAAAAACCAAAGAGATATGATCCGATAAAGAAAAATGAGAGATTAGAAAAATGTATCCTCTCTTCTCTAGATTCGTGTCAGTAAAAAATAAATAAATAAATAAATAATAAAGGGTATGGAATTACCAGTTTGCCCCTGTTACACGCCTTTACCGTCACACTAGAAAATGGCCAAGTGTAACCACCTACTAATGTGTAGTATAGCGGGTTTAGTTATAAATGTCAACCCGGGTCCTAGGTGTGATGACTAGTACTCCGTGAAAATCTTATTATTTAGCGGTTCAAGTGTAGTGAAGGTCTAACTAAACTAGCAAGCAAGAGCAGTGAAAGTAGTGTTCAAGTTGAGAGAGGTCACCCAGATATGGTTCCCCCTAGACTGTAGTTAAGTCAGGTTGTAATTCACCAAGTTCAAGTTCAATGATAGTGCGGGAGGTTCTTAGACAGTCTGCAGTCTCGACTAAAGGTCCAGATCCTCTCAATCTGAGTCCCCAGCGGGCGACTAACCTCCACCGGAGTAAACAGATTAAGCCCCTAACGAACCAAACCTCCTCTACCGGAGTAATCTGGTACAGAATAGTGAATTGACTCCTCGACTAAAGTGGTCAATTCACTATCTTCAATCAAGGGTGCTCTATCAACCTAGGCATATATTCTCTTTCTAGGTCAAAGCAGAAATAACAGGAATTTGATCAGGATTCATGCCATTCAGGAAATCAAACCTCAATTGAATATAATCAATATCAATGAATTCGTACTTGGATTCATACAATCAGGCCTAACATACAAATCTAGGGTTCTTCATATCCAGGTGAGTGAGAGAGTTTACTCCATAGAGAGAGAAGGGGAATCTAGCTCAGATGCAGAAAACATGCTGTGAAGGGTGAGATTCTGCTTCTGGCAATCAACCGACACTTCTCCAAGCTTAAGCCGAGCTCCAATGGTGATGAAGATCGATCTAGGGCGCTTGGAGATTCTGGTTCTCTCTCTCTCTCTCTCTCTCTCTCTCTCTCTCTCTCTCTAGGTATCTGCTTTCTTTTTCTAAAACTCGGAACCCTTGTAAAATTGGCCTTCTTTCCCTCAAAAGGGAGCAGATCGCGATCCCCGGTCGGGTATTTCAGCTGCCCGGCCGGATATTTTGAAATGCAGCGCAGTGGGGAAAGGGAAATACCCGATCGAGGTTCAGAATACCCGATCGGGTATTTTAGCTATCCGGCCGGGACCCCTTCTGTAATTCTGGCATCCAAAACGTGTTATCCCCGGCCTTCTCTTGCATTTTACCCGGTCGGGTATTTTAACTCCTGACCGAGTATTTTCTTCTTCCAACGCCCCTTTACTCCAGTGTCCTCCTTTTTGACCCGAAACTCGTTTCCACGCCTCCATGTCCATGCCAAGTCCAGAAATATGACATTAACGCACAAACTAGCGTGAAATCGGCTTAAAACACGATAATCGTCTCTCAAACGGCTCAAGAATGAAAGCATAAACATGTGCAATTAATCGTCTATCACCCTGCATTTCTTTTTTGTTGTGAATTATTTTGGACCGTTAGATGTGATTAAAATGGACGAATTTAGATTTGGTTTTTTAGTAGAGGGTTTTGTACCCTATCATTTCCCATACAAAAAGTGAAGAAAAGAAAACAAAAGTTTCTAGAAGGTGATTCTACTTAGCTACCCACAAGAAGGAATGTAAATTGTTTTGGTCTCGTTTAGCATGTATGTTTTACTCTGTTAACTAGATTACTATTCGGCAAAAATGACAACTGAAAACAAGACCAAATGCTATATGATTTTAGCTAACCATGCCTGTGTCGTAACCTTTGTTCACTACTTGAAGGGTTCAATGTCAAGAACTAGTTTATCCAAATAACTCGAGTTGTTGGGAGAGTATCCATAATTGATCTTATACCACACACTAACACACACCCCCTCAAACGAAAGCCACTCGCAATGGCTTGAAGTTTGCATAGTTTGAATACCATGTGCTTAACAAATAGAGGTCGTGGGGATTCGAACACAAGGTCTCTCGTTCACAAAAGATTCTGATACCATGTCAAGAACCAGTTGATCCCAATAACTCAAGTCGTTGGAAGAAATGAATCTTATACCTCACACTAACACAATGGAGCTTTAGTCAAGTGGCAATGGCTACTCTGAGCACATGTCACGATAGGCAAAAATTGTAAAAGATTGGGAAAGAGGCAGAATGTGAGATGATAACACTGAATTTGCACATGTTTTTCCTGTTACTTGGGTATGAAGAATCCTAGATTTGTATATTAGGAGTAGTTGTATGAATCCGAATTCATGACTTTGTGATTGTTATATTGAATTGAGACATTTTCCAGAATTATTTGGATATTCTTGATCACATTCTTGCGATTTATGCTTTGACCTAAGATAGAATTTGAATAGGCTCCAAGGTCTTCTTGTTCGTCACTTTCTCCCACTCTCTTCCCCTTGGGTATGAAGAATCCTAGATTTGTATATTAGGAGTAGTTGTATGAATCCGAATTCATGACTTTGTGATTGTTATATTGAATTGAGACATTTTCCAGAATTATTTGGATATTCTTGATCACATTCTTGCGATTTATGCTTTGACCTAAGATAGAATTTGAATAGGCCAATAGAGCAACTTGAATTGGAAGTAGTAAATCGACTGTGCGAGAGTCAATCGTATTATTGCTTTGCACTGTGATTCATTCTAGTAGATGAGATCAGTGATTATTGCCTTATCATTTTATTCCAGTGGAGGTTAGTCTACCATCGGGTACTGTGCATAAGAGGGTTTGGTCAGCTTTTGAGATTCAAAGCTTATTTGGATATTCCGCAGTATAAACACAAACCGAAGTGAATTAGGTGAATTACAACTTGACCTAACTGCAGACTAGGGGGGATCATTACCTGAGTGGTTCTTTCTCGAATATCAAAACCAGAACATTTGCTTTCTTTCTGTTTTTATTTTTCTTACAATCAAATTCACCCAATTTTGATTGCTAGATAATAGAACTTCACTTAGTAAACCAGTATACCTAGGACCCGAGTTGTCATTTTAAACTTGAACCACTATACTACAATCCTAGATTACGACTATACTTTGTTGTCATTTATTTGTGTCGGTTTTAGCGAGTCATTAGTCAGATGGGATGGAATGGTTTGGCCTAGCTAACAGTGCAATGGGGGATCTGAAGTTATGCTTTTTAATTGCTATGTTTCCTTATTAGTTTGTACAAACCGACTGAAAACCCGTGTTATTATTGACCTTATTCTTATGGCTGACTTTGATCAAAATATAACATGGTTGGGGCCTCTAGGGTATAGC